ACATCTGCATCGTCCACAATGCATATCGAGACCAATAAAGGACCAATGATTAGGACGCTAGACATATCCTGGAGGCGGGTCCTTTACCTTACGTGGGCGTGTCCGTTTACGTAAAGCCAACATCTATATCGTAATGGTCCCTATGATCGGCGTTTGCAAGGTCTTGGTCGGGAAAAAGGTATATAAGGAGTCGGACGCACTGCCGGAGTCACATCGCCCTGTTCCGTCTCACCAATCCTGCAGAGATGAAGTACTTGGTGAGTAAAATATCAGTGTTTTCTTTTCTGTAAAATTGCTGGTTTCTACTTTGTATTGTGGCCGATTTCTAATAGGTGTGATTGATTTAACATTTTCTGTACCTTCAGGTGTTTTGTGCTCCTGGTGGCTGCCGCTTGCGCTTCTGAGGTGGAGAAGCGAGAGGCGGAGCCAAGTCGTGCCTACAGCTATGGCTACGGTCTCCACCACCACGCCTACTACCCACGCCCATACTACTACCCCTACCGCCCCTCCTACCACCACCACCACAAGAGGTCCGCCGAGCCTGAGGCCGAAGCAGAGCCCTCTTACGGTTCCTACCACTACCGAAGCTACTACCGCCCTATTCCTATTCCTACCACCACGCCAGTACACTCCCCTCCGTCCACTACCACCACAAGAGGTCCGCTGACCCCGTAGCTGAGGCTGAGCCTGGATACAGGTCCTACCAGCCAGTGTACCCTCGCTACTACCACTCCTACCACCCACACTCATACCACTACTCCCCCTACACTCACAGCCACCACAAGAGGTCTGCCGAGCCAGAGGCTGATCCTGGTTTCAGCTACGCCCACCACCGCCAGTCCACATACCATCCCTACCACTACCATGGAGCTCACTATGGTTACGGCTACCACATTAGCCACCACTAAGGCACTGGGAGTTTATTTGACCTGAATTCGCCGAAAAGAATTTTATTTTGAAAAGTAAAATCAGTAATAAATTATCCTAAACAAATCCTGTTTGTGATTTAAAGATCCTCATGAGAATGTCAAAGAGAAACAGATCAACACCCAAGGCATCCACACGACCAAATCGCGTCAGCAGAGAACCACAAAGACAACACAACCACAAATACGAACGAGTGAACCACGGAGAGAAGCACCCAACCATCACCCACTCATCCACCTTTCCATCCAGAGGAAGGAACAACCCCGCCCTTCAATCGCGTAGCCTCGTCAACTGCATCCACATCCTCACCTTCGTCAGCGTCGTCAGCCGATTGGAAAGTAAACCACAAGTAGAAAAAGAAGAAAAAGAGCTGTTTAAGCGAGAACGAACGAGACAGGAATTCGAACAGTGCCAGTGCCATCGCCCTCAAGCAGTGCCACACCTCGACCGTGGAGGAGGATAGAAACGGGAGTAAAGGGGGTATAGGGGGAGGATGGGCCAGAGGGGGAGATGGAGGGGAAAAATGAGAAGGGAGGGAAATGGGAAATAAGGAGGACGGAGGAGGAATAGAAGAAAGAGGAAAAGGGATGGAGATAAGGAGGAAAACATTGAAAAGATAGGAAAAAGGGGAGAGGAGCGAAAAAAATATGGCAAGGAAGACTAAAAAAGGAAAAGGAAATGGGAAGAAGAAAAATAAAGACAAAAAGGAAAGGGAACAAGCACAAATAATGAATATTATTAGAAAAATTCGGGAGAATAAAAAAGAAAATCAAGATATATGTCAAATTTCTATCATTGTCTCATATTCATTAAAATTCATATCCAGATTTGATAGGCATTCATTTAGATTGCCAAAGCGTGTACATGATCTATGATAGTACTTATTTTCTTCAATTATTATTCATACTTTCGGTTTCATTCTTGATAGGATCTTACAATATATTTATAGGAGGAATAAGAATAAGATTTGGAAGAGGAAGAATAAGAACAGGATTTGGAAGAGGAAGAAGAGGAGAAAGAGGAAGAATAATATGATTTGGGAGAGGATGAAGAGGAGGAGGGATGATAATAAAAGGAGGATTTGGAAGAGGAAGAATAAAAATATGATTTGGAAAAGGAGGAAAAGGAGAAGGAAGAATAACGATAAGATTCGAAAGAGGAGGAAAAGAATAAGAGTTGGAAGAGGAGGAAGAAAAAGCAGAATAGGAAGAATAGTTAGAAAGGAAACATTGGAAGAGGGTGAGAAGGAAGAATTGGAAAAGGAGGAAGAAAAATCTGGAAGAGGAAGATAATAAGGAAAAGGAAGAGCTAGAAGAGAAGGAAGAATATCACTAGGAAGGGGAGGGAACAAATGGGAGAGGAGGAATAGGAAAAAAAAGAAAAAGGAGGAAAATGGAAAAGGAAGAATATAATAAGAGTTGGAAGGGGAGGTGGAACAAAAAGAATAAGAAGAGGAGAATGAGGATCAGGAAGAAGAATTGGAAGAGAAGGGATGAAAGGAAGAATTCGGAGAGGAAGATTAAGAAGAAAATAGAAGAGGATGAAGAGGAAACAGAAGAGCTGGAAAAGGAGGAGGAAGAACGGGAATAGGAAAAGAGAGAATTATGACGGGAAGAGTTAAAAGAACAGGAATAGGGGTAGAAAAAGGAAGAGGAAAAAGAGTTAGAAGAGGAGGGAAAACAAGTTGTATATATGTATATATACATATATACATATAAAATTTAAGAGAGGAGGAAGAGGAGTAGAAAGAAAGAATAAATAAACAATAAAATTTCGAAAAGGATTAGAGAAGAATGAGATTTAGAAGAGGAAGAAAAAGAAGAAGAAGAAAAAGAATAGGAAGATTAAGAGGAAAATTGGAAGAAGGTAAGGAGGGAGAAGAATTGAAAGAGGAGGAAGAAGAAACATTGGGAGAGGAAGAGGTGGAGGAGGAAAAACAAGAGCTGGAAGAGAAGGAAGAAGAGTTGAAATAGGAGGAATAGGAAAAAAAAACGGTAGAGGAGGAGGAAGAGAATACGAAATGGAAGAGGAAGTGGAAAAAAGAATAATAGAAAGAGGAGGAGGAGAAAGTAGAATTAGAAGTGGGAGAGGAGGAGAAAGAAGAGCTGGACAAGAAGGAAGAAG